AACGAAAACATCCCTGTGTTATCAACACTGTTTCCAGCACAAATCCAAAACATAGCCCCACACTAGCTACTATGAAGAAGATCAACTCTATCCCAGCCAAAACCAGCACAGTCATGTAATACTGACCAGAATTTCTTTCTCCCGGCAATCCTTAGACACTCACTGCCTTACGCAGAAATATATATCCAGCAGAGACGGAGAGATGGCAACACTTCTTCCCACACACTCTTGTAAAATAGGTATGGTGGGTTTTGCTACTTCCCCGGCCGGTTTCTCAGCATCTCTCACTCCGTGTCGCAGCGTGCCAGCTTCTCAAGCAGGTAGACAGGAAAGTCCTTCACTCTACAGTGCATGGGGGCAGCGGGCACTGGGGCGAGCTGCTCCGTGGAGTTACGACGCTGTAGTGCTGTTGAGTTCCCCACAGACAGTCACCCACTCAAGGTGCCTCATCTCTTTGCATGGACAACTTAGCAGGAGCAGTAGATCATCTTCACTGTTCAAAGAGCAGCAGCGGGTGTTTCTGCACCCACTTAAGGCATGGAAGAAATATAAGGCAATTCCAAGGTACAGGGAATTAGCAGGGAGGGCTTTCTCCTGAACAGTGTTTTACATGACAGCAGGTCTGGGTGTGCTTCATTTAAGAGACTGCGGATTCAATGTTGGTCTTCTTAGGTTTTGGCCAAGGATGTTTGGGAGCATCTTACCCCAGATGCAGGTTATAGCAGCTACAGTGATGCAGAACTTCCCTTATTATGTGTATTGACCTGCCTGGATCAGAGTTTCCAGTGCTAATTGTTCACCATAAATCCAACTGTAGTAGTGCTGCTCCTCATTTCCACGTGAGTCACTTCCAGCTCAGTCAGACATCTCAGCTGTTTGCAGGAGTCATTTTAGATCTTCAAAGGGGGCAAAAATAGCTTTAATTTATTTCTCTTTTACTAAGCAGCCCTTAAATCTACTTGCATTCATTCCTCAATTTAGACTTTCTCCCTGTACAGTGCAACCCAGGGGGTGAGTATGAGCCCTGTTTGTTCCCCTTCCTCAGCATGTGCATCTCCTGTGAAAGTCCTTGCTCCAGTTCCTAAATTGCTACAGCCCCTTACACTGCAAAATGGCCAGAGAGCAGGATGAGGTCCCCACAGCTAGGGCAGGTACGACAGGAGTCTGTTCAAGACTTGTGAAATGGGATAGAGACCTTAAAGGTGAAAGAAAGAGCAAGAGGACACATTACAGAGTGGAGTTCAAGGAAAAGGGTAGAAACAACTGAGAGTGCATTGTATCTTCAAGATTACGGTAGCTTAATTTGTATAAACACAGTTTAGTTACAGAAATACCTTTCCAAGAGAAAGGGGCACACTCAAACCTACAACTCAAATTTTAGACAGACTTTTGGAAGGCCTGATTCTTTATCTGGCCAAATTTGCTCTCTTATCAGTGACAGCCCATTAACAAGTAGCCCTGGAAATGCTGCCTTTCAGGGAGCGGAGGCAGAGACCCTTTTGTGCATGGGTGGAGCGGACAGCTGGGCTGTGGTTAGCGGGACACAAACAATACCTACAGGAAAATGGGAAGTTCCTTGGAAGTGCTTAATGTAGCCAGCTGGAACTGCGAGCGGAAGCCTGGGTGGATGTAACACACCGTAACAAACATCAAGCCATTCTCCCTGTGTAACAGCAGGGATCCCATCCCCAGCTGGTTGTTCATCGTGCTGCTCAGGGAAGATGCTCTTAGATTTACCAAACCTCTGCTTAAGCCCCAGTAGCCTGTGGGTTCCCAAGTCCT